AAATGGTTCTGGATTACAGGCCTGAACTTGGCATGAATGTGGCTGATGTCCAAAATAGTTTGACTTGCTTTTTGTCCCCTTTCCACTGTTTTCTTTGGTTCTAGGGAACAGCTGTGGGGGGAAAGCCTAGGAATTCTGCACCAAAGGAGGTTCTTGCTGTATCTGCTGGCAGAGCTGCCGTGGGGACTGCTGTGAGTGCTTATAGCTGCATCCAGATGCTGTGGCATTTTGTGCTGACTCTGACAATGCTTCTCTTGCTGTTACAATACCCTGTACACAGCTGTCCATCTCCTCTAGGAGAGTTCAATTATCATTGCAGAGGGAAACTGAGGCAGCTCAGAGCAGGGGGCTGGTCTGGAGCAGAGGGAGTTGATGCTGGAGGGTACCATTGCTGCAGCATGGGGCACCTCAGTCTTAAGACCAGTGGGACTTCAACTTTTGAGCATGTTGGAGCACGGGGACCAACTCCAATAGTGATGCTGGCCAGGAATATATCCGACACAGAACCCTCCCCAGGAAGGAAAGCTCATCATGTGCTTAGCTCTGGGACTCCTGTTCAGCAGCAGGAGCACCTGAGTGTGCTGGTCTCACCGGGCAGCCTGACGGTGACCTCCACATGGGCAGACAGCCGCGGCGATCATCACCTTAGTCCTGCAATGGGGCTTCAGGCTCCAGCAGACCCCGGAGGGTTTATCCCAGTGGGTGTTTGCTCATAGCAGGAGGTGCGTGGGGGGACCGACAGACACCCCCAGGGATAAAGCCAGCGCTGATCGCTGTGCTCTGCCCTACCTGCAGCACATAACACAGCAACAGGTTGTGGAGGTCCCCTCGACCCCCCCGGCCCCTCGCCTGTTCCTCCTTGAGCAATGGCAGCAGATTAGCCCGGAGCCCCTCTACGCAGACAAAAGCTGCCACAAAGGGCATTAGGAATCAGGATTGGATTACTGTTTGGCCACCTGTCATCCCCACGTTGTAAATTTATCTCGCTCTGGGTCCAGTTTTCACACTGGAGAAGTTTGCACTTAAAGTAATAATAAATTCCACACACACACCCCCCGTGCCTCCCCAAGCAGCAGCCTGATGGAGTTCGGTTTAGCATCCCTTCTCATTCCAGGCTTCAGAGCTGCGTGGGGCTGGAGATTAGGGCTGTTTGAATAGAGAGAGCCTTTATTACATTAGTCTAAGTGGTTAATAGGTAAAGTAGGCCAATCCATCTTTAGACTAAGCCTATCGCTTCGCCTACGAACGGTGCAGGCTTCACTGAGGAAATATTCATTAAAGGAAAAGCTTTTGCTCTGACATGTTAATAGCTCAGGGTTAGGGGCTCTGCTCTTTGCCTATGGAAGATTCATAGCTGTGCTCATGCAGCAACTCCCTCCTCTTGCTGGGACCCCTGACAGTGCCGCAGTGCTGAGCCCCATCACTGCCTGGGCTTGGAGGAGAATGAACAGTGCCAGGAGTCTGCACCTCCTCATCCTCTGTTTCCTCTTCCATGTTCAGAAAGCAGTTGCCACATCCCTTCCCAAGCAGGGAGGTAAGGAGAGGGTTCAAATGATGGGCAGAGGCAATACTTCAGTGATGGGACTCTCTGCTGTAGGACGTTCTCAAGGCCGAAAGTATTCATGGTTTTGAAAGGATTAGACAGCTCGTAGTCACTATGAAATGGGATGATTTGGATGCAGATGCTGGCTCCTGAGGCCTTTGAACTCCAGGTTGCCAGAAGGCAGGAGGGACTCCTTGCCAAGCTTTTCATACTATCTTTATTTTGCACTACAGTGCCCGCTACACCCCTCGGTGGTGTCTCCATCCAGCTCTGTCCCGACTGGTGCAGCAGCTTTTGTCCCAGGGCTCACCTGAGCTCCCTGGTTCCCACAGCCTGACTCCCTTTATTGTCTCCCTTTCCTTTCCCATACAGACCACAGTGGTAGCTCTACCTCTGCCTCTTCTCATCTGGCACCAAACTGCGCTGGCAAAACCTGCCCAGGTCTCTAATGTGCCTGTGAAGCCTCCATGGACACAGAGGACTCCACAACCATCAGGAGCTGCCCCAGGGCTAAACTGTGCATGCACCATTGAG